ATATGAACATGGGCAGAGTAGCAGAAAAAAAAAAAATTTAGTCATGTTCCTGGCTGAGGTCCAACAAGGCAGTGCTTACTGAGCCTTATTATTTCAATTCTCATATTGTAAACAAGTCTTTGTAGAGTATATAGAATATTTTCCCATCTTTTTGCATTTTATGCTTTTTCTTGGCGAGTTCACTGTTTAAAGAAATGTTTTAGTGTAATGCTGAAATGCTGTCCAAATTGGCCATCGGACAGAGGAAGGCTTTGATATATCTTATGGAGAGAATATACATGGTAGATAAGCTTTAATCAGGCATGAGTTGTAGTGCTATTGACCTTGAGTTCAATGTTATATTAACTAAGGTATCTTTAAACAGAAATACACATAAAACAAGGTTAAATACCGATGAGTTGACCTAACTCTGCATTTCTGTTAGGGGCAATGATTCAGTATTTGCCCCTTAAGCATCCACAGCAACTTTATAGAAAATAGCCATGGCTAATAATGAGAATTGAGTACTTTTAGGGTAAATTTGATTTTGGGAAACAGCCAAAGTCATTTATGGACAGTACAGTATAGAGGTATGATTATTAAAGTCTTTCTCAACCTTTTAAAACCCATCCCTGCCCCCTTTTGGAAAACATCTTACTTCACTACCCTAAATATTCTAGTACATTTTTCTCATTAGACACAGCCAGGTTGAGAATTAGTCTATAAGTTTTATTTTACCATTAGCTAGGCTGATGCTCTGTAGTGGAAACTGAGTGTTTATAGTAAAAACTATAGTTTTTAAAAAGTTTGCTAGATATAATAAAATTTTATTGGTTAGTGGTTTTTTTAAACTGCCCTCTTATTCCAGTCAAGAACAACTTGTATAAAGCAGAGGTTGGCAGACATTTTCTGTTAAGGGCCAGACAGTGAATCTTTAAGTTTTTTGGGCCATACAGTCTTTGCTACTACTACTCAATTCTGCCACTGTATGGCGAAAGCAGCAAAAGACAATAGGTATTACTTTATGAGTTTATAAACTCCTTAAGAGCAAGGGTCACGCCTTATATTGATGTATCCTTCATGACATAACACAGTAGGATCTCAATAACTGTTGCCTTGACTTGCTGATTTAACCTAGACAATAAAAAGGCTATATTTTAAAATATTAAAAACTTGAGCAATTGAAACCCATCCATTTAAAATTGATTTCAGGAACATGTATAAAGGACACATGGACAAAACCAAAGAGGAGTAAAATCAAGGGTGGGAAGTGGGATGGCTGGGGTGGGGGGAAGTAATGGTGGGAAAATGGAGACAACTCTTTGAACAACAATAAAAACTAGAAAAAAATAAAAAATTAAATTAAAAATTGAATTATTTTAGAAATCTGCCCTGGCTGGTGTGGCTTAGAGGATTGAGCATGGGCTGCGAACCAAAGGGTCACCGGTTTGCTTCCCAGTCAGGGCACATTCCTGGGTTGTGGGCCAGGTCCCCAGTGGGGACCACGTGAGAGACAACCCCACATTGATTTTTCACTCCCTCTATTTCTCCCTCCCTTCCTCTCTCTCTAAATATAAACAAATACAATCTTAAAAAAAAGAAAATGAATTATTTTAGAAATCTTTTAAATGTCCTTCTTTAAGTAATTACAGTAGTTGGCGTTTACTGTATTTGGAAATAGGAGTCAATGGCCTAATCGTAGTAATTTGTGAGTATTATAGAACATGTTGGCTTATTTTTATACATGTCCTAGTACATTTAGTAGGTTTCAATAAAGTCTTTGATAATAGTCAAGTTTCCACAATAGCTTGCTTTAATTATTTTGTGAGTATATTTTATTGATTATGCTATTAGAGTTGTCCCATTTTTTTCTTATCTTTGTCCAAATATGCTCAGTACCCCCATTCCCTCCAGCATTCCCCCCTGCTTTGTTCATGTCCATGGGTCATACATATGTTCTTTGGCTTCTCCATTTCCTATACTATTCTTAACCTCCCCCTGTCTGTTTTGTACCTATTAATTGTGCTTCTTATTCCCTGTACCTTTTCCCCCATTCTCCCCCTTCCCCCTCCCTCTCCCCCTCCCTGCTGATAACCCTCTATGGGATCTCCATTTCTGTGATTCTATTCCTGTTCTAGTTGTTTGCTTAGTTTTCTTTCTTTTGTTGATAGCTGTGAATTTGTTGTTATTTTACTGTTCATAGTTTTGAACTTCTTTTTCTCAGAGGAGTCCCTTTAACACTTCATACAATAAGGGCTTGGTGATGATGAACTCCTTTAACTTGACCTTATCTGGGAAGCACTTTATGTGCCCTTCCATTCTAAATGATAACTTTGCTGGATAGAGTAATCTTGGATGTAGGTCCTTGCCTTTTCATGACTTGGAATACTTCTTTCCGGCTCCTTCATGACTGCAATCAAGTGATAGTCTTATGGGCACTCCTTTGTAGGTAACTGTCTCCTTTTCTCTTGCTGCTTTCAAGATTCTCACCTTATCTTTAATCTTGGGTAATGTAATTATGATGTGTCTTGGTGTGTTCTTCTTTGGGTCCAAATTGTTTGGGACTCTCTGAGCTTCCTGGACTTCTTGGAAGTCTGTTTCTTTGGCCAGATTAGGGAAGTTCTCCATTATATTTTCAAATAAGTTTTCAATTTCTTGTTCTTCCTCTTCTCCTTCTGGCACCCTTATGATTTGGATGTTTAAACATTTAAAGTTGTTTTGGAGGTTCCTAAGCTTCTCTTCATTTATTATTACTTTTTTTTTTTGAATTCTTGTTTCTTCATTCTGTTCTGGTGAATGTTTATTTCTTCTTTTTGTTCCAAATTGTTGATTTGAGTCCCAGTTTCCTTCCCTTCACTGTTAGTTTCCTGTATATTTTTGTTTATTTCATTTTGCATAGCCTTCAATTCTTCCTTTATTTTGTTACCATATTCAATCATTTCTGTGAGCATCCTGATTACTAGTGTTTTGAACTCTGCATCTCATAGGTTGGCTATCTCCTCATCGCATAGTTCTTTCTGGAATTTGATCTGTTCTTTCATTTGAGTAACATTTCTTTGTCTCAGCACACTTGTAAGTGGTTGAGCCTTAGGTGTTCACTAAGGTGGGGCAACCCACATTGCTACATTGTGGCGCTGTTTGTGGGGGAGGGGTCAGAGAGGGAACAGTGCTGCTTGCTCAGCTCTTGCCCTGCTATCAGTCACTTCCCCAGCTTCCTGCAAATGAATGATGCCCTTCCAGGTGCTGCCCTGGTGCTGATTCCTGGGTGGGTGGACTTGTGTAGGTGCTAGGACCCTGTGGGCCCCTCACATGGACTCTCCTGAGAGACCAGCTGTTTCTTCAGCCGCCACAACCTATTTTTACAGCCAGAGGTTCTGAAGCTTTATTTTTCCTAACACTGGGACCCTGGGTTGCACAGTCTGTTCTGGGCTGGCATTGCTCACTACCCCATTTTTCTTTCTGGTTTTAATCCACACATGAATGTAAGACCGCCAGGTCCATCTGCTGCCACCTCTCCCTCTTGGTCCACCAGCCACTGCCTTGCTGCACATCCTCTCCACCTTGGCTGTCAATTTCCACCCCTCCTACTGGTCGGGACAAATGTTTCTTGAACTCCTTGCTTTTTGGCTGGTTTAATTATTATACCTTCATGGATGTAATGTATTGTAAAGATAATTTACAGTTAAATATGAATAAATTGAAAAAAATTATTTGAGTTGTAAATAGTTGGTGGGTTATACAATCTTGCTAGATAATCAGTTTATTGCTGGGCTAAGAGCCTATCATCTCTGTTAAACAGCAACCTATTCTTCTCCTTTCCTGCCTCACCTCCGTGCTACAGATACTTTTTTTTCTGTTAATACTTGTCTCACTGTGTAGGGCTATTGGTTTCACTTTGGCCAGCCAGTTAAATTTCCCATGTAATTCTAATGCCCTTTGGGGCTACTTATGAGAGGATAACCTTCAGAAAAGAGTAAACTGAAAATCATACAAATTCCTCATTTCCTAGAGTTACTTTTGCTTTTAAGATTATGAAAGTATATATGGAGTGAGCATGTGTAAATAGAGCCAGTCCCACTACTTTCCTCTAAATGTAAACTATTATTTCAAAAACTCCTCACAAGTATTTTTTTCTTATAGATGAAAAATAGAATACTATTTTACTTTATTTTTCAACTTTATTGAGATATAATTCACATTTAAAATTTAATTCACAATTAAAATTACAATTCACATTTAAAATGTATCATAGAATTGTACACTTGAAATCTCTATTTTAAAAACCAATGTCACCCCAATAAATTTAGTTTAAAAATTATAAGATATTTAAAGTGTACATTGAGATCATTTGATATACGTATACACTGTGAAAGGATTCCTCCCCTCTGGTTAATTAACATATCCTCCACACCTTATATTTATCATTTAAAAAATATGTAGTGCTTCATGAATTTGCATGACATCCTTGCACAAGGACCATGCTAATCTTCTCTATATTATTTCAATGATAGTATATGTGTGGCTGAAATGAGCACTGGAGTAATATAAGTAAAAATAAACCTTTCTTTAGAGTTCATCTGTCAAGATTTTGTTTTCCCTAAATGTGCATGTGAGAGATGTGTATGTGTGATACACTTCAGTTCACAGACTGAGGTTTTTGAAAAATTGGATTGCAACACTGTTGATGAAAAGAATCCTCTAGATCTGTACTGTCTGGTATAGTAGCCACTAGCCACATGAAGCTGTTAAGTACCTGAAATGTGGCAATCTGAATTGAGATACTGCGGAAGGGTAAAAATTCATACTGAATTCTGTAGACTTAGTATGAAAACAAGAATGTAAAATAACTTACTGGTAATTTTCTTTTCAAATTATGAACTAAAAAAGAAAATTGTTTATTGAGAGCAAGAGGATGCAAGCAATATAAAAATCGAAAGCTTATCTGGTTTTAATTGGCTTTTCTTTCTCTTGTCAAATGGGGGTGAGATTTTATTTGCACATTTTCTAAGGGTCCAGTCTGCTCATGAAATCCTTATACAGGGGTAAGCTGTGGGGCAGAGATTCCTTAAGCAACCCATTGGGAAAACTCTTCGCCTGGGAGGAAGTAGCTGGTCAGCCGCTTGCTTCTTTCCCTCCTGCTTCATGCGTACTACAATATACTCATTGCATGCAATGGTGAACCCAGCAATTAGTGAAAAGAAGTTCTGGAAGCCCACTTGGCCGTCTTGGCATTGGTCCAGGTCTTTCATTGTTTTGTCTGTGGTCAGGTCGTCTTTTTGATTTTCCAAAAATCCAGGGAACTCCTTTTCCATGAGTACTCTTGGGTCCTCTGTTGTTAAGTAGCCTTTCCCCAGTAAATCAGCGAAATGTAAACATCATGGTTTTCATGTTGTGTTCCATTTGAGACGGCATTTTGGTGAGGTCTTGGCCCAGGTGCGGCAGGTTTGCAAGGCTGGCTGTGATGTGCGGCTAGTCAATAATTTTATATTGATTACATGTTGCAATGAAAATACGTTGAGGTAGATAAAACATATGATTAAAATTAATTTCATTTTTTAAATCTTCACCCAAGGGTATATTCATTGATTTGAAAAGAAAGAGGAAGTGGGGGAGGTGAAAGAGAAACATTGATTGGTTGCCTCCTATGCTTGCTGGAACTAGGGACTGAACCGGCAACCCAGATGCCCTAACTGGGAATTGGACCTGCACCCTTTTTAGGTATACAGAATAATGCTCCAACCAATGAGCCACACTGGCCAGGGTAATTTCATATTTCTTTGTACTTTTATTAAAATGTGGATTCTGGAAATGTTTAAATTATATATGTGGCTTTCATTTGTAGCCTGCTTATATTTTTGTTGGACAGTGCTGCTCTACATTATGTGATTTTGCAACATAATCAAAGTGTATAATCAAATATCAACTTATAAGATCCATTTAAAAATGACCTAGAAGTTTTTTAGATTCTTTTGGCTTTCTTACTCAATATGGAAAAGTACTATAGATACCACTTTATTTTCATTGACCCCCAAATGCTAAGAAAGTATGAGATTAGCTTACTGTACATTCACTAGTCTGCTAGTAAGCTTTTCAGTGACTTGTAAAATAGGGTAAGAAAGAAGGGCAAGTTCAGTGCTATTTTATTAGGATATATTTTATTTATTTTTAAAGATTTTATTTATTTATTTTCAGAGAAAGAGGAAGAAGGGGAGAAACAGTAGGAGAGAAACATTGATAGACCGCCACTTGCACCCACCCCAAGCAGAGATCTGGCCCACATCCAGGCATATGCCCTGACAGGGAATTGAACCAGTGAACTTTCGGTCTGTAGGATGGCACCAGCCCACTGAGCCACACCAGTCAGGGCAGAATACATTTTCCTATCACAAAATAAAGCAGCTCTATACTCCCAAAAAGGAAATGATTTTTTTGAAGAATAAAATATTTCTGATACCTGGATATCTCCAGATAACTCTAGTAATTTTTATAAACTTGTTAAAGCAATTTTATCTTTTTTTTTATTTTGAGAGTATATTTATTAAAACTGGGACAATGAAACAAGAAAGGACTTAAGGTAGAAGAAGCAACAGGAGAGAGCCTAGCCAGGGCTGCTTTCACTCTCTGGAAATGTTATAGGAAAGAAGTAAACCTATGTGAGGCTACTGTGGCTCACTAGACAGTCAGAGAAAAGGGGCCTTGGAGACAGGTTCAGTGGTTAGCCTGGGATGAGCTGCCAATGCCAGTTGCTTCCCTGGTTGCAAGTCTTGTGCGGAACATTTAGGAAATGCATGTCTGAGAGGAAAGAAGGGCATGGGCATGCTCCAGGGAGGGAGAGTGCTATTTTATCAGTTTTTAAAGGCGTGTACTTAAAAAGTATTTTTATCCTCACCTAAGAAGATTTTTTTCATTGCTTTTAGAGAGAGAGGAAGGGAGAGAGAAAGAGAGAGACATTGACCAGTAGCCTCCCACATGCACTGGGACTGGGGAATCAAACTCGCAACCTAGGCATATGCCCTGACCGGTAATTGAACTTGCAATCTTTCAGTTATGGGATGATGCTCCAACCAACCAAGCCACACCAACCATAACTAAAATTTTTTTGAATTTTATTTTAAATATTGTTTGTTAAGATTATTAAATAAAATTAAATGTGTTAATTTTATAGTGCTATAAATTATTATGTGCTATAGTATAAAATCAAGCAATGGCACAGTACCAAAACTTGAATACTGAGAATTACTAATTTAACTAATGATAAAGTATTGGAAAATGTAGGTGATAAAGACAATTAGTGCAAGGAGAATTATGCCTGATAAAGCCCTTCTTCCCATCAACTTTTTTAGGTTAGTTTGGCATCTTTTACTGGTGCTTTTGGAAACTTACAGATATTAATAAAACTTTGTTAAGAACCCTTTACCTTACTGAGAAAACAAAAAACGTAATTCACTAGCTTCAAAACAAATTAACATGTAAGAAATGGAGCTAGCTTTTAAAATTTGTTTCAAAGACCTAATGTACTAGCACTTTTTGAAGAACGTGAAAGAGCAGTCATTAAGTTAAAAAAAAAAGACATTACAAAAATCAAACCATAACTTTTTCTTGTGAGCTTCCTAAGGAGAACCTTCTAAATCCTATGCTTTATTCTGACCATTCTTTTTGCTGTATCAAATACACTTTAGGCTCTTTTGCCGGTGGACTTTGTGTTCTTGGTCCAAATTGCAGACCCATGCCCCCAAGGTTGCTTTCTTTCTTTCTAAATTCTATCAGTCTTTCAAGACCCTGCTCATATTTCTCTTTTCTGAAACCTTTCCTACCCCCATCACTCCAGCCCAACATTAGCATGTAATTAACATTTACATAATACTTTACTTTTTGTAATGCCATTTTGAATATTTTCTCTTTCTTTATGTCATTATAACAAGGTACATGATATCCATTTTGTAGAAGAAGGGCACTGAGGCTGAGAGAAATACGTGATTTTTTTCAGAACTAGGTAGATACTAAATAGCGAAGCTAAAAATACTGGAACCAAATCCTCTTCTAACTTTCATGCTCTTTCCTCCTTGATGACCCCTTAACTCCCATAATAGTTATGTAACACCCAATTGGCTATTAATTAATTGTTTACTGTCTTTATATTAACTTATTTATTCGCTGTAGACTTGAAGGAATATGTATAATACAAAGGGAAAGAAAATAATGGGAGAGCTGAATACATTTCTTTTTTTTTAATATTTTATTTATTTATTTTTAGAGAGGGAAGGGAGGGAGAAAGAGACACAGAGAAACATCAATGTGTGGTTGCTGGGGGTCATGGCCTGCAACCCAGGCATGTGCCCTGACTGGGAATCGAACCTGCGACACTTTGGTTCGCAGCCCGCGCTCAATCCACTGAGCTATGCCAGCCAGAGCTGAATACATTTCTTGATAGAGAATCAAAGAGGTCATTAACAGATCTTAACAGCTCATTTACTTTTCTGAAAACATTCACCTTTTAAAAAGTATGATAGCCACACTCACTCATTTTCCTCTAGCCAAAATTACTACCTATCTTAGTGCCAAATGTTTAGTATAATTTTTAATGCACAGCTGAACAGCCCTATCTGGTGTGGCTGGGTTGGAGCATCATATGGTAACCGAAAGGTTGCGGGTTTGATTCCTGGTCTGGGCAAGGGCACGTGTGACCCTGAGATCTATGCTTATGATCCCTGGTCCAGGCGCATAGGGGAGGCAACCAGTCTGTGCTTTTCTTTCTCCTTTCCCTTCTCACTTCCCCTCTGTCTCTCTTTAAATAAAACAAAACAATTAAAAATGTCCTCAGGTAAGAACTAAAAAAAGAGAGAGATCTAAATAGAGAAGCCTTCCCTGACCACGTTGGCTAAAGTAGCTCCTCTCCATCAGTCTGTGTCTTAACAACATTTAAAATTTTTCTTTAAAGAACTTTAAGCTATTTGAAATATCATTTCTTTATTAACTTGTTTATTGGTTATCTTCTCCCACTAGCATATGAATTGAATGAGATCAAGGATGTTATCTATCTAGTTTATAGCAGAAAGTAAGCACACAGTAAATATTTGCTGAATGATTGAGCTACTTTATTTATGAAAAATGTTCACTATGACATCTATCTTTTAAAACAAGTTTATGTTATGTCCATCAAATACTATAAAATGGGCATGTAAATGCTGTTGACTACCTAATTCCAAATATAAGTCCAAATTACTGTAATTACTTGAAGAAGGACATTTATAGTTAAGAAAAAACCAGGATTTCTAGAAAAAATTAATTTTAAATAGATGTGAATTTAAGCTTATAAAGACACTTGCCTTAAGTTTACTCTTCTTATAGCCTAGACAGTATAAGGAATGAATTTCTTTAAAAATTTCTTTTATATTTCCCCTAAAGTTGCATTTATAACTATGACAAAATTTGGGGGTATTATAATTTATACTTAAAGTCTGAAGCCTTTTCACAGGAATGAGGATTTAGAGTCTGAGTGCCAAACTTACAATCAAGAAATCTCCTATAAGGAATTTATGATAATGATACCTTTCAGTGCTTGAAGGCATTTTAGGAAAGTACAGTCATCCCCTAGGGGATTGGTTCCATTACACCCCTGGAAACCAAAATCTGTGGATGCTCAAGTCTGTAACATAAAATGGCGAAGTATTTCCATTTAAACTATGCACATCCTCTGATATACTTAATCATATCTAGATTACTTGTAATACTTAATACAATGTAAATGCTATATAAATTGTTATACTGCATGTATTATTTGGGGAATGATGACAAGAAAAAAGTATATACATGTTTACAACCACTGTAAACCTAATTATATAGTACATGTCAGCAACAACATAATTTTTTTCCAAATATTTTTGATCCACAGTTTGTTGAATTTGCACATGTGGAACCCATGGATGTGTATGACTGACTAGAACATGTAGAGGTAAGATATGGTTTATTATTAAATGGCCAACAGTTTGATTATATTTAATTACTTAATTGTCTAAAAAGTAGGCCAAATATTAGAACGGATACAGCCTGATACTCCTTAAGTGTATGTTAACATTGTAAGAATATCATCGCTCACTAGTAGATTGCTAATTATAGATAAGCTCTTTGAATTATTTTTATTAAATTGAATATCAGATGTGTATGCATATTTATAGATTACATATGAGAAAGCATATGGAAGTATTTGATAAACTATATTGTATAAATGTTATTATAATGGGGAAGACATAGAATAGTAATATTTTAACACTGTCTAAGAGACTAAAATTCAGAGATAAAGGTCTTACAGGGAACATGTAGGGGCATGATCTTAGAGGATGCCTGAGTTTTGGGGAGCTGATTCTTGTATTTATGTTAATGTTGTTTACCCTGGGACAACTGTAGTAGCATAA